ATAACAGCTAAAGAAATGGCAGGTTAATGGGAAAATATTTATATTCAATTCAAGCAACATAATTCCATTGCTTCAATGAATATACCGTCTCTTTAAACAGTACATCTAATTACACTATTTTGCTTGTTTCACATTGTTTATCTTATCTCTTTATTTTGATTTTGGTTTAGGTTTTGTGGTTTTTTAAAATCTTAATAACAGAGAAAGAAATGTCAAATTTATCATTCAAACTAAACCATGATAAATATGCTTTGTGATAGTGCAGTGAGGCAATGCATAATTTTCCATCACTTCTTAAGTCATGTGAAGATGAAAAATCTGCATAAAAATTCCAACTCTATTCTGTGAGGACAGGACAGATTTTTTTTCCCATTATTACTTATAAAAATTTACTTTTTCCAAAAAAAGTGGAAAAGCATTACCATCTTTCTATTTGTTGTAGTTGCCATATTTCCTAATGTAGAAACCTTCAATCTCACATTAGACACCTGGCATATCTGGAAACATGATCAAACCAGGCTGCCTAGAAGAATCAAAGGAAACAAACTAGCATATCAGATTAACAAACTAGGAATTCCCTGTTGGCTATAGAAGTATTGGGCAGCTGCACCTTTAGATACAATTTTTTTAGGACACCAAGCATACACTGTTTTCTCACCATTATTAAGCATGCTCATGCGAATTTTGTCAAGAAAGGACGTCAGAAATGGACAACCCCTGTCTGGTCTATGATCACAGGCTGTGCACATGAATGGGAGCTGAAGGTCCTTCCTGTGAATACTTACTAAGAATAGAAAAATAAATAATTTTTAATAGAAATCAAATATACTAGTGAAAGCTGATGTTGATCAATGACACCGACCAAATGACAAATGATTTCTAATTGCAGATTTTGCTCATTTTTTGAATGTTCATTAATTTCTAGTGAGTATAAGATGGAAGTACGTATTGCTAAATAATAATACTTCCCATTAATCTTAAAATGCAGTTATGATTTTCAGTAAGATGGAACAATATTATCAACCGTGTCCTGTCAGGTTATCTGTTAGACAGAACTAGTCTCTTCCTTTTTTGCTAGACTACTTTGACTCTTCACCCACACATTTCTTTTTTTTTTTGTTGTTGAATCAAAACATGCAATTTCTTCAAAGATAAAGTTCACTGATATTTAAATAAACATAAAAATCCCTATTATCTAAACCTCCTCCTCCCCCCCCACTTCCCCACGTTGTTTGGGGGCTTTTTTAACTGTAGGTTATTAGTATTTTTCTAGAGTTAATTACTAGAATATTCCTCTTTTGTAGATGGAAAAACAGCTACAGCGACTTGCTAAATAGGTAATACCTGCCTGGAGCAGAGAGCCCAGGAGTCTTTGTTCGCAAGTGCATACTTTAATTTTATACAATCTATTTTCTTCCTGATATAGACTATAAACTAAGAGGATTTAATTTCATTTATAATTAACATATTTGCCATGCACCCTAACTTTCAAAACAGAAGTCTTGATTTAAGTAAAGGATAATGCTGACACAAGTGGCATTAATAAACATCCCCAAGATACTGAGGCTATTTCTGTGTGTATAAGTAGCACTGGGACAGGAAGAAGGTTTATGCCATTATTTATGCTGAATTGCCAGCTCCACCTAAAATACTGCTTTCTGTATGCCAGCTCTTCCCCAGGAAGCATCTAGGTTTGGATAGTACTTCCCCCCAGCCAGTGCAGGAGAACAAACCTGTGTGGTGATGAGACAGTTTAAGCAAGAGTACATAATGAGGCTTTGTTACCTAAGCCTGAGATCAAAGAAGTGTCCCTTGCAGAAAATTACATGTAACTGCATCAAAATTGATTTCTTTAAAACTGTTGTATCTTTCACCATGAATCAATGTGTTTGTCTATAGAGTTATCTTACTTTCCGCAGTTCTTAGATTGCACTGAAATAAATTTCCTTGCATTTCAGAGGGTCAAACATTGCATTCCATCTGTAGAGCAAACTGTGCTGCCAGGTACAGACCAGTATCTAAACTGGACCCAAACCTTGTTTTGTTTGAAATTTTTTATTGAAATCGGATGCATCCCTTTTTGATATTTAGAATGTTCTGTATGAGTCATGAAATAATACTGTATGGTATCAAGTGTTACTTAATTTCAGACCTAGTGAAGGAGAAAATGAAGTTTCTACTTTTCATTTTAAAGTGCATCTGACTTGGTTGCCATGCTGTTTCAATGGTTTTGTCTATGCCATTTGGTTGAACATTTTTGTCCCTGTGAAAGGACATATTTTCTATTATGTTTAAAGTCTCATTTTAGTCCAAACCACACTATCTATACAATTTCCGTTCAGAACATAGGCCGCTCTGTTGGGGTCAGTTTGAGTAATGAATGGAGCTTCAATCTGAAGCCATGGGAGAACCCTCTGTAAGTTAGACAAGATCTACTACCCAGGATTCTCCAGATCTGTTATTCAAATTATTGCTAGAAAGTTCCATATTCTCTGTATTGCCATTGGGTAGTTTTTGCTGCATTAATTGTAATATTCTAAATAACTTGTTCCTGTTGGATCCTTCTGTTTAAACCCCGCCTTAACCCCCTCCCCTTTCAGAAATGTATAAATGTCCCTTCAAAATCTGGACCCTGACTTTTTCTGGTTCATTCTTTATCCTGTGCATGCTGTTTGGTTTGTTGCTTTATCATTATATTAAACTTGTTTTTCTGGACAACTGGGTCAAGCGGTCTCTCTCGTCAAAGTCGCCAGAGCCAGTTCTCAAAGAAGCCCCTGGCCAACCATCCAGGCTAAAACTGGGGGGCTTCACCATTCTTTCACTGTAGTATAGAACAAATACAAGATTAAGTTATTTTTCTCCTTTTTCTTATGGAAAAGTAGGTAGTTGGAGGTACAGCCTCTCAAGATATGGAAAAGTATTGAACTGACATCATCATCTATTTCATTGCATAGTAGTTTCTGTGAATGCAAATACTGCACTACAGTTTCCCGAAACATTTGTCAAAAATTTTTGGGTTTAGGTTTTATCTCTCCATAAAGGCAAAACCAGTTCAAACATTTTGTCCTGCTTCAGGATAACAGTCATTCAGCTGGAAGCTAAGGTTTCTCAAAAAGCATAGATTCATTCCAGCTGCCTTTTTTTTTGGTCTTACTACCTCCCTTATGGTAAACAAATAGCTAGTATCAGAAATCAAAATCTGATTTGTTCTGGGAAAATACCTTATATGTACATAATAAACAATAATAATACAACTATTTCTTACAAATCCATCACCTATGACTCATATGGTTAATAGGAAATAATCCCATATTTGAAGTTCATAAACCAGATATTTATAAAATTAATTAAATAGAAATAAATAGGATGGTGTTAGTTAACTCAATACAATATTCAAAGTTACAAAGTGAAACTTGAACATTTCCTGTGGGTTTCTGTTCCTCTTCTCCCAGACTCAAGGAAAGACTGTATTCCACAGGAGTATTCTGGATGTGGAAAGAAAATCTTAGAAATGGTGATGGAAATAGTTCTAACATTTCTTAACAGTTTAATTCTGACTGCCGACCAGCTGCAATCCTTGGATTTCTGGCTCTCCATTCCTTTCGTTCCTTTTATTCTGAGCAGCACAAAGATACTCTGCCACCATTTATAATGCAACAAGGGTAGGACATTTGCAACATTTCCTCACTAACAAGAACATGACACAGTTCATATAGTCTGAGACAGAGTCAAGTAACAAAATGCAGTTCAAGACTTTTGCCAGAAAAAAAAAGATCAAATTGAAAGATGCAGTTTTCAAAACCCAATGCTTAGTGTCGAGCAGGTATCAACATTTTAAGTTTTTTGTGGTTTTGTTTTTCTGAAAAGAAATGTCTGTATAGTACATCCTAACTGTCTCTAGTGGTCTAGAGAAATTACTAAATATCTAAATTTTCAAGTTATGTGTGTCTTTCAATCCTAAAAAACTCATAAAAGAGCTCAAAAAATGTCCTGAAGATTTTATTAATCTTTATAATAATCTTTTTAATAACTCTGCAGAGTAGAGTGGGGGGAAAAAAACCACACAGGGTAGGTTCATGCTTTTAGTTTTAATATCATCTTCCTTACATGCACGAGTCAGTTACTGTCTGCATCGTAGCAAGGGTGTAGAGCCAGCAGTGCATATCTCACCTTAATATGCAAACTTCTGCCTATTCGACTGTCCTGTGCTGAATGTCGAAACCCAGCTTAGCTTTTTTGGTCCCCTTTGAAAAAATAAAGGATTTTTAAGATTTTTTTTTTCATTAGAACATAGTAATAGTGAAGTAATAATTTTATTCCTGCTCCAGTTTAAGAAGAAGTGAGTTCATCTATTTGTATTTTAGTATATATTCATTGCATAAATACAACAGAATATGAGATCTAGACAGAAAAGATCAATCTCCCACTTGTTAATTTTACAAATGTTAGTTGCACAGTGATTGGATTTTTTAGTTTATCCACTAATATTAGCAAAATTTACTAATTTTGGATAAATAAAATTAGCATTTTATTTAAATGCAAAATCTACTTACTATATTGTAAACAAAATCTTCACATGATGTTTAATAAAAAACCAGTTGAAATCAGTGAGGACTTTTCCCGTTTCTAATAGGCTTTATTTAAATCTGATTGTCAGCAGGAAATATCTATTCAATGTACAAGTGGGAACCAGTATCAAGAGGTCTCCCTCAGGTGTCTGCACTGTGATCGATACTATTTAATATATTTATTGATGATGTAGACAGGGGGATTGAGAGCATGCTCAGCCAACTTGCAGGTTACACCAAGCTGAGTAGTGCAGTTGACATATCTGAGGGATGGTATGCCATCCAGAGACTGGACAGGCTGGAGGAGTAAGTCCATGTAAATATACAAAAGTTCAGCAAGGCAAAGTGTCAGTACAGACTGGGTGATGAAGCTATTAAAAGCAGACAGACAGAGAGAAGGTGTTTGGGATATTGTTGGATGAAAAATTGGACATGAACTGCCATGATGAGCTTGAAGACCTGAAAGCCAACTGCACCAAGTGTGGCCAGCTGGTTGTGGAAGGTGATTTTCCCCTTTTAATCTGCTGTTGTGAGACCACACCTTGAGTATTGCATCCAACTCTGGCATCCTCAGTAAAGGAAAGAAGGGGACTTGTTGGAGTAAGCCCAGAGGAGGGCCATGGAAATTATCATAAAATGGAACACCTCTCTTATGAGGAAAAACTGAGTTGGTGGTATTCATCCTGGAGAAGACTGTGGGGACACCTTCTTGTGGCCTTTCCATATGTAAATTCAACTTATAGGAAAGATGGAGAAAGACTTTTTACCATGGGTCTGTAGTGATAGGACAATGAGCAATGGTTTATGAGAGCATAAAGATTTAGATTGTCTGCAAGGAAGAGCTTTTTTAGAATAAGGATGGTGACAAATTGGAATAGAGAGGTTGTAGACTCCCCATTAGTGGAAATGTTCAAGGCCAGGTTAGAGGGTGCTTTGAGCAACCAGATCTAAAGTCAGGTATCTCTGCCCAAGGCAGATGCTTAGAACTAGAAATTCTTTAAAGGTTCCTTCCAACCCAAAGCATTCTACAATTCTGTGTTTGCAGATATGAGTGACATCATCTCTGGTTGTATTGATTGAGGCATGAGAATAGTATAGAGACAATTTAAAATCTGTTTACTTTGAATTTAGAGTCATTTGATTTTGATCTTTATGTTCTATATGTTCTGTTTTGTATGTGCAGCACTGAATAACACATTTTCAATTAATTCTAAATAATAATGAAGTGTAGAATGGAAATGGAGAATCTTTTTAGCCTTTAGGCATACTTTACTTAGATAATGCATAGAATTTTTCAAAAGGCCAAACAATTTTACAGACAACTGTGTGTTATTATTTCAAGTGTGATGTAGTAATTGATGCCACTGTTTTCAGGGATTTATGTTTTTTTCAAAAACAGGCAAATAGATGTAGGTCAATGTGGACCAAGTACAAGCTTCCATCAGTTTCAGGGGTGTGCTCTGGGCAAGCTTGTTATACTGGCACATTTACTCAGTGTGAGATGTAGCTGAAAACCTTTCTGGTAGTACTCCAATGACAAATGTCACCTCTGAGCTGATACCCAGACCCTGGGGAAATGACTTCTTTTTCCCATGGAAAATGGCCTCCGTTTGCAGCCACTCACACTGGCTGACAGTGGGGTGCGAACCTAAAAATTTGCAAACTTAAAAGTTAACTGGCTGCAGTTTTGATTTCGTTCTTAAATATATCGCAGAGGCGCTACCAACTTCTCTAATTGGCTTAGCAGCATGTCTGTTCTTAGGGCCAAGCAGGGATTCACTTTGTCAGGCATGGAGGATGTTTCTAGGAGCTTTTCACAAAAATCACTTCTGTGGCTGGCTTCTTCCCTCCCCACCAAAAACCAAGCCATGCAAAACCAGCACCTTAACTAATCTGAAGTACTTAGTACATACACAATAATTTCTTTTAAACAATACCTTTTTACCAAATGCACTGAAAATAAATGTATAAATAATATTGATAAAAATAGTTCCAGTTAAAGAGAAATATTGGGTCATGCAATTCTGGTTTACATAACTATTTTTTGTACAATACACAGAATCCTTTTCACCTATGAGGAAATGTTTCCTAGTGAAAGCCTGGAATCTTTTGCAATTTGCCAGATAACAAGGGATTTAGAACAGTAAATATGCAAGCAATCTTTTGGACCCTTTATCACCTCTTCTTGACAATTAATCTATTTCTTATACTCCTATTTTTATTCCATCAGAGGATGTGATCATAAAAATGTCTAGTCATTCTTTCTTGTTTTCAACCACTCAAAGAGCATTAATCAAAACTATTCAGAAGTTCTTGATCTGCAACAGTGACAAGCACTATAATGGTAAAAAGTCAATGGACATCAGCAGATCCACTATGACAATACATGGTGGGGTGTTCTGGCATTTTGAGTGGTTCTAAGTCTGTGAAATACAACATTCTAGGGATGGGAAAAATAGAAACAGATTCTGAGCTTTCAACCCAACAAAGGAAAAAGTAATAGGGCAGGTAATTTTCTGTGGTAATTGCTACCTGAAAATTCTATCAGAATAAAGAGCATGCATATATATATATATGTGTATAAAATGCAGATAATTCTAACAGCGGTTTGCAGGTTGTATAGGAAAGAGGAGTGCCTCTTGAATGTGGTGCAAATACAAATTTCCACCAGTTTCAGGGGTACGCTCCAGCCAAGCTTGCTGTTCTGGCACATTTTCTCTCTCTGAAATACTTTCTGGTATGATTCAGATGACAAGAGACACAGAATATGGGGCTACGATATGCTGAGAATGTAAGTGCCTGGCCCGAGTGTCTTATGGCAGAAGCAGTGCACTAGAGCCCTTTGCTGCTGCCACAATGATCTGCGCAAGAAATAGATGCTTATTCCCCTCCGGGAGAGTAAAAGCAGGACAGATTACAAGAGTTGAAGAACGAAGCTGCAGAGCCCTGGGATGGTGGCTGCAGCGTACCGGCTGTAAAAGGAGTATGGCTGTTACTGGCCTACCAACCGAATTCACAGTGGCAGTCATAAGGATTAAAGTTCAGTGAGAGCTACTTGTGCTGCTACCTATGCCTCTTCCAACTCCTCCATGGAAACAACTGTGCCTACCTTTAGGTTCCGAGATCAGAGAACACAATGGTAGATGCAGCAGAGAAGGGAAGTACGGAGTGCACTGGGGAGTTTGATGTGGCTTATGTGGGGCACACGAAAGGTGCAGCCCAAGGCTCATTTTTATTTCTAGAGCCTTTTTCTATACAAATAGCTGCTGGACATTTGCAACAAAGATGTGAGAGTGAAGAAGTGATGGCAGGTCTATCTGGAAAGGAAGATACAGAGCATTGTGCACAGTTTAAAAGCTCTTAAGAAAACTAGGTACTTTGAGAACATCCTCTGTCTTGACATTTCCATCTGCATGACCTCTAGCTGCTTGGACATGGTGACAATGAAAGAATGTGAAAATATTTGCGCTGGAAATGTCAGTTTGCACAGGAAAGAGGGTAGGCACCTTCTGTTCTGGCACATCTGTCAGTCAGAACTGCAGCTGAAAACATTTTGCTGTAACTATAGTCTCTGACACTTTGAGAGAATGTGCTGATGCTATATATATATATATAGTTGAGAAGGAACGTGCAAATCTCGAGTGTGTTTAGTTTATTTTACAGACTGCAAAGGGAATATTATGGCCAGCACTGCCTTTTTGTTGTAGGAGTTTTTCTTTGAGAGCAACTGCTGGACTTTTTGAAGTAGTTTGGGATCTTCAAGAGTTAGAGTGCAAGATGGTACATAGATCTTGAGGGAAAGTGCATATCACCAGGGAGCTGGATGCAGTTCAGTGGGTACATGTTGAGCAGTTGATGGCACAGAAAACATTCAAAAAGGAAGAGGCCATGTTGAAATTTTATTTTGAAGCTTATAAACTGCACAGCCAACAACTAAATGATTCTTCTTCCTTCTCTACTACATGCAGGATCACATTCTGTCAGTGCCCAAGAGCCAGGATCCACATCAGAGCTCTCGCCCCCACACTGCTCCCACACAAATGGGGCTGGGCTAGAAAAGCGCTTGTCTTTTTCCTGGGCACTGCCAGCACTCATCAAAATAACCACACCATGGCATTGTTGACTCACAAAACAAGGACACACACCAAGCCCAGCTCAAAACCACCCCCAGGACACAGCCAAGTCAGCAACATCCCTCTTCTCAAATCAACTGTGTCAGGACAAAAAGATTTTGCTGATCTTCCCTTTCCAAATGGATACTCTTCTTTGCACCACACTCAAAGGCCAACACCAGCTCCTCTGCCCTAACAAACTTTTTTCAGTCTCGTAGAGTCTGGTAACAAACTTGAAAACATCTGCCTAAAACAGAGCTCACAAAACTGCCACTGGAGAAAGCTCTTTGCTGCCTACAATTTCAATTGCATCTATCAAACTACAAACACACACCCTGCTATCGCCACTTTCCTTCTCAGCTCTAGGTACCATTGTAAGATTTCAGTCTCACAGAGTAAGGATCCAAATGGAATGGCACCAGGGACTGCTCACACACTAAAGCTACAAGGGACAAAAACTTGTCCTGCAGAGGCTTGGCCTCTGCATTCCTACTGACAGTTTGAGAACTCTAACCCAGAGAACTGCATATTGGGAGTATAAAAGCCTTTAAATTCACTGAGACCACCCAAAGTGCCCATCCAAACTTGCTTTCTTTGCCAAAGAGAGGAACTAGAAGCCCATCTCAAAAGAAATGGCATCCCCTCCTCCAAAATACAAAACATCCAGGGACTGATCCTATACAAAGGTGTCAGAACACTGGTATTGGGCATTACCTGCATGGGACACTAGATCCACTGCACACCAAGACCCAGCGTAGCTGCTTACTTTGTCCAAAAGAAGTGTGCTGGCAGAATATCAAGAAGGCTGCCTCCAGGAAGTGGAAAACACATGCCAAATGGATTCTTTCAGGAGGGAGAATGCCTTCCAAAGATAGATACTGACTCTATGGTTGTATGAATTGAGTCAGTGTTTCCAAACCAAATATGCCAGGATAGAAAGTTGCTGCCACCCTTAAGCTGCACAACACAGCTTCTTACCTGCACCTCCAACACTGGGGCCAAGTTCTTTCCTTCCCATGAGAAAGCACTGCTGTTCTCATTCAGGAACTTACCAAGCAAAAGTTGTATACCACATCCAGTACTGACTCTGTCCAACAATGGCTCCTACGCAGAAGGGGCCAGGACAGAAATGTCTTGCTGGACTATACCTACCCACGGTACCTTATCAGCTTCCCTACCAATATTGCCACCATATCTTTTACTTCCCAAGGAAAGGCACTCCAATTCACTTGGCTTTGCCTTGCCTCCAGTACCATGCCTAGTTTTCCTAGGCTACCCTTGCTTTGCTTGCTTGCCTGCCTATGTCTGCCTTGCCTAGCCTTACAAATAACTTCCTGGCTTTGCTTTGCCTTGCCTACTCCTCTTTGCCTTGCCTTCCATGCAAAGCAAG